ACTTATCGGCATGGGTAGGGGGTGGCTCTCAGTGACAGCATTCGCCTGGCCCCTCTCCACCAGCCCTGGCCAGGCCTCCTTCCGACCCAGGGCCCCGCGGAACCCATTCTTCAAACTGAAAGACGCCTCAGCTTCAGCTGAGCCCGGAGACTGTGGCTATGGGCTGCGAAGGGAGGTGTCAGAGGGAGGCAGGGACCATCGGGGTTAGATTCCCAAGGACATTCCTGATGGCATCTGGTGCCATCAGCACCTCCCTGTGTAACTCCTCTGGAGACTCAACATTCATGGCGGGTAGGATGTCTGGGAGGCGTCGCTGCACTGTATGGAGTGAGCCCGTGGAGCGCGCCTTCACCGGCATGGCGCATGGAGCCCCCCCTCCCGCCTTCGTTATTTTCCGTCCACTCGGAGGAAACTAAGACATCAAACAACCGATCGCCAAGGTCACACCACGGATGAGTGGTGGGCAGGACTGACCTCTCCAGGGCCATCCCCCGAGCCACAGGGCAGCACTCCTGGTCACCTAGTCACGCGGCCCCACACGGCCCTGAGGGGGATCTGTCCTTTCCTAGCTTGTCTGCGCCTTTTCAAGGAGGAATTACCTGCTTCCAGAAGCCGCTGCCTGCGCCTCCCTCCCGGGTTCCCCCAGGTCGCCCCGAGAGCAGCCACCGGCGAGGCGGCCCCCAGTCTCACTGGACGCCTGCCCTGTCCTTGGCCCCGAGTCCTTCCAGTTGTGCTAAAAGTAGCACGGCCAGGCCCAGGTCTGCTCGGGGCCAGGCTATTTTGATTGTGTCCTCAGGAACCATCCCCTGCCGATGGCCGGGGGGGGGGGGGGCGTGGAAAGGCAGGTGTGGTCCCTTCTCTCAAACACTTGCAGCCTGTCTCACTGGGGCGACAGAGCTAAACCGTCTGTGGGAAGCTGAACAGGGCGGGCTCGGGGCTCCTGGGAGGGGCAGCAGGACGAGCCCCCCCAGGAGCTGATACAGCGCGCATCTTTTCACTCCACAGTGTAACCGTGAGGTTCATGGTGGGTATTTTTGTGTAACTATAGCTGTCCATCTTCACTGCTGTCTAGTCTTCCCCGTCTTCACCCTCCTGTCATCTCAAAGCTGCTCTCCGCCCTCTGGGTGCTATTTCAACCATCCTCACCCCAAGGCAAGATGGTGTCTTCTTAACCCGCTCCCAGGAACCATCAGATGTGGCGCCAGGAACGTTCCAGTGCACACACCTGTCCCCCAAGCTGCACCAGCTGCTGCCCCCCACCCCACGGCCTCCATCACGTGCCCCCTGAGATCTTGGTTCCTGGAGAGAGGGGCGCTGGGACCTGCAGTCTCACAGCACAAGGGGTTAACACCCTCATCCACAGAGAACACCAGCCGGCCTCCGTGACGCTCCGCTTGGCCCTCTCCATGTAGCGGGAGCATGTTCGTCTGGGTTTATGACATCCACACACACGGAGGCCACACCAGAAGCCGCCTCAGAGACAGCAAACACTGCTTCCGTGGGGGCTGAGAGAGCTCCTTCTCTGGGGGTCCTTACAGTGGAAGAGATTCGCATCTGGCTGGTTTATAGGAGTCCTAGTGCAGGGCTCCCGCCCCGAGGGCCCACCCCCTCCTTCACTGGGAGGGCCTGGTCCTTCTTCAGAGTCCACGGCAGGCCCGCCTCCGGGGGCGGGGGGAGTCCTCCCGACCAATCAGCCCCACCCCTGTCTCTCACCACCGAGTGGACTTACACCTGCCCTTTAATAAAGAGGTTTCCTTTCACCCAGCGCCCTCCCCTCTCAGCTCCGAGCTCTTCATGTCAGGCACCTTTCACTAGCAGACGCCCAGGCGGCGGCTTCCCAGCACCTGTAGGTGGTGAACAGGCGCGGCCGGCTCTGCTAAGGAAATAAGTTGGCCATCGTTTGGGGGTTGGTTCACTCATCTGTTCAATACCCGGCATCGAACATCTCCTCTGCCCGCTGCTGGTCTGCACACCGGAGACACAGTATCTAATGAGACTGGGCCCCGCCTGGGATCCTTCCCGGGTTGTCACACAGTGGGCTGTGCAGTCATTCACCTGCAGTGAGGCCAGCTTTGCCCCAGGGGATTGCAACGGCCTCCCCAGGGATTTCATCCGTGACAGGTCTTCGCTCATGCAGGGAACGTGGGGCAAAGAGCATCCAGAGAAGGGAACAGCATGTGCAAAGGCATGGAAGCACGGAAGGGCCTGGTGGGGCCCAAGAAAGCTAAAAAGCTTTGCTATGTTCTCAGACCGGCTGGCCATGGGCAGCTTGGCTCCTTGGTGAGAGGGATGGGAACTCCAGAGCCCCTGCTGCTCTGCCTCCGGTGGCTGCAGTCTCTCCTCCCAGCCTACAGTCGGGAGGAGACTGGCTCCTTGACACGGAGGTGCTGTCCTTCCGTTAGAATCTTAACGTTGCACGCGTCACAAGGCCCGCTGCCCCGGCTGGCAGGCGGGTCGGAGGTGTGAATTAAACAACGCAGGGTTCTGATGACTTGGGCCAGGGGTGCGGAGGCCCACAGAGCCGCTGCTTCCTTTGTCACCGATAATGAGGGCGCTCCGAGGCTGATCATAAACTCATTCCTCAGAGCCCTTCAGGCACCTTGCTGACATCATCCAATAATAACAGCGTGAGGAGCCCCTCTTACTGAGCTGTACAAGTACAGTTTCACTTACTCATTAGATGACTTTGTGCGTGGCATGCCTGCGCTCACAGCTAGTCAAAAGCCGGGACTTGGGTCCCAGTCTTTGGGGCTTTAGGAAGCCCCAACACCACTCTGGCCGGCTTCGCCCTCTGCCCCAGGAGCCCCCCGATCGCCTCTGGCTTCCAGGGCAGGGCTCTGACCCACTCAGACGCTCACCGCACCTTTATTCCAGGTGCCTGGTGCACAGGCCTGAAAAGACACACAGACCCAGCTATCACGTGGCTTTCCGCCCGGGGAGCTGGAAGGACCCCTTCCCACTGCCCCTCAAAACTCCCATTGTTGAGCGAGACCTGTTCAGCTTCCCCAGCCTCTGGCCGACACCCTTGCTCCTTAGCCTCTATGGCGCTCATCTCCCAAACCACAGCACCTGTGGCTTTGTCTCTGCCGCTCAGCAGTCACTGCTGTGTCATCTGCAGGTGGAAGGTGAGCTAATAAGACACGGTCCCTGCCACAGTGTGTGAGAGACACGTGGTCGGGGCATGGGCTGGAGAGCTCAGGGATGGCACAGACACTGCAACCCTTCCTCCCCCCCACCCCCCTACTCGACCTTGTCAAATGGCATCATGAGTGATGGGAGGGAAACGACTCAACTCGGAAGGGCTGCGTAGCAAACTGCAGGGCACACAGCGCAGGGCGCACGGGAGAAGCCGTTCAGCGCTTGGCCCGCAGTGTGGGAAGGCGGCACCGAACGGCTGCCTCACACAGTCTGGGTGTGATGCTTAGTAAAGGAAAGTAGGTGCGTGAAGACTGACAGGCTGTGACGTATTACACGAGCAGGGATGTCGCTCTATGTATCTCCTGCTTCCTAGGATGCCTGGCATGAATCTGGGCGCACAGTGGGTATACAGCACATGTCAGTTCACTTACATGGAGTTGATTCACTCACCCCATTTGCCACCTCTGATAGTCCTGTGGCTTTCAATGCCACTGTGCGTCTCCACACTGGCAATGCCTGCCCTGCCGCTGGGGCTGGGGAGAGGACCAGGTGCAGAGGATGTAGAGTGCCTTGGAGGCTATTAACATACATAACGGCCCCATTATGGGGGTTTGAGTTGAGGCTGGGGCCCCTCATTGTGGAGCCAAAGGCCTGGGGCAGCCACTCTCCAAGCCATAAGCCCATTCTTTGGGGAAATAAACGTTACACTTTCTCCAGTTTGGGCTTCCAAACCACAGGCCCAGAAGAGTGCCTGTGACACGGGCCTGGTCCCTAAGGGGCCCGGGCCACCACGTGCCCACCCCTCACTAGCCCTTCACCTCTCGTTTCAGCATCCCTACCCCACGGAGGATGAGAAGAGGCAGATCGCGGCCCAGACAAACCTCACCCTCTTGCAAGTCAATAACTGGTGAGTTAGCATCGTCCACCCACAGGCTCTCAGATGCAGAGGCCACTTGCTTGGCAAGGGAATGCGCAGCCCGGAGGAGACTGAATGCCTAGTCCTGCCTCGGTCCAGCCACCACGCCAGTCCTCCCATTCGGACTGGCAGCCGAAAGCCAGAATCAGCACAGGCCCGATCGCTTCATTTGCAGCTTCTTAGCGCCCTCTGCTGGGAAACTGTGCTGCGAACATCACTGGCTAGAAAACCCAGCCCCAGGTGCACTGCAGACACACACAAGTGCCTGCAGCCAAGGATGCAGGGGCCACCAGTGGTCACCTGGTCTGCCCCCACCTGTGTGAGCTTAACTAAAATGTTCTGCAATGTAGTGGTGTGAAGGAGGAGGAAGTGTCCGCCGTCCTGACCGCACAGGGGCCTCAGCTTCCCCTTCTCTGTGTCCGGCTGGGCTGTCAGAAATCTGAGGGGGGCAGGGTTTGGCTGGATGGGAGTACACACAGGATTGGGCTCCCTGATCCAAGCCCTCAGCCCTCGGAGAGAAGTCAGAGGTTAGTGCCTTTGACTAAGGGGGCTCTTCCGTCCTCTGTTCAACCCTGACAGGTACGAGTAAAGATTTCTGACCCTCACGCACCCATCCCATGATGCCTTGTGGTTACCAAGCGATTCCATGAGTCCTTGGGGCCAGGGCCTTTTACCAGCTGGGCTTTCACCCCCAATCAGACCCCAGTCTGTTCTGTACAGTGGATCGGCTGCTGAGTCTGGAAGCAGCTTAGCCCTCTCTGCACGCACGCACGCGCGCGCACACACACACACACACACACACACACATGCATGCACACCCCACCACCACGCAGGTGTGACTAACCAGGTCTCCACCTTCACCCCTGGGCAGGTTCATCAATGCCCGGAGGCGCATCCTGCAGCCCATGCTTGATGCCAGCAACCCAGACCCTGCCCCTAAAGCCAAGAAGATCAAGTCCCAGCACCGGCCCACCCAAAGATTCTGGCCCAACTCCATCGCCGCGGGGGTGCTGCAGCAGCAGGGCGGCGCCCCGGGGACAAACCCCGACGGTAAGGACTGGGGCTGGACTGGCGGGCGGGACATCTGCTCGGCCACAGTCATCCCTCCCTGACCCCTATCAAAGTGGGTGGACAAACAGGGAAGGAGGAGGGCTTTGCATTATTTTAACAGGCCAGGAGCGACCTCACAGAGGCCAGGGGAGCCAGTGGTCGTCAGAGCCCATGACTGCTCCACGGAGCCCCTCCTCACTCCCACTCCCGCCGAAGTTGCTTAGAGCCAGAGCCGTCTGTAAATAAGGAGAGGCAGCGGCTTGTGCACGGAGGCGAGAGGGGCTTTGTTTCCCAGCTTCTCCATCACACTCTTCACAGACACTGTTTTAACTGCCGGTTGCCTGGTGCATAATGAATAATTCAATGAGCCAGACATTTACAGCTCAGCACAGGGTAGCTCTGTGGGGGAGGGGGAGTGAAGGTGTTCATGTGTGCGTCCCTACCTGCACGTGTGTGTCCCTTCCTGCATATGTGCGTCCCTACCTACATGTGTGCGTCCCTTCCTGCATGTGTGCATCCCTTCCTGCATATGTGAGTCCCTACCTGCATGTCTGCATCCTTACCTGCGTGTGCGTCCCTACCTGAACGTGTGTGTCCCTTCCTGCATATGTGAGTCCCTACCTGCATGTCTGCATCCTTACCTGCGTGTGCGTCCCTACCTGAACGTGTGTGTCCCTATCTGCATGTGTGCATCCCTACCTGCATGTGAGTCCCTACCTGCATGTGTGCGTCCCTACCTGCATGTCTGCGTCCCTACCTGCATGTCTGCATCCCTCCCTGCATGTGTGTGCACTTATGTGGCTGCGTGGTGGTTCCTGTGTGATGGGCAGTTGTCTCATGAGGGATGGCAGAAAAGCAGATTGTGAGCTGGGTCAACCAGGGGGAGGATTCCAGCTCTCGCCTGACTGTGTCCCCTCCAGCTAATGCCTTCACTGTCTGAGACTCAGTTTCCTCCTCTTTAGAAGGGCTAATACCTGCCCTGCACAGGTGCTAGCAAGTCACAAGTATTTAACATGTTTACACAGAAGTGGCTCAGTCCAGGTAGTAGGGGTGCTGCTGCCTGGGAGGGGCAGGTGGGGCTGACACAGGGGCTTCATGCCAGCAATTGCCAGCTCGCCACCCCTGAGCCGGCCCACCGAACCCTCCAATACTGAGGTCCCTGGCCTGACCCTCCCCTCCTCTCTCGCAGGCTCCATCAGCTTGGACAACCTGCAGTCCCTGTCCTCAGACAATGCCACCATGGCCATGCAGCAGGCCATGATGGCCGCACACGACGACTCATTGGATGGGACGGAAGAAGAGGAGGAGGATGAGATGGAAGAGGAGGAGGAAGAGGAACTGGAGGAGGAGGCTGACGAGCTTCAAACGACGAATGTCAGTGACCTGGGCTTGGAACACAGTGACTCCCTGGAGTAGTTGGCAGCCCAGATGGCACTGATCACCCAGCAGGAGAGGAGTGTCGTCAGGGGGTTTCAGGGTGGGGGGGAAGGGGACATGGGCAGGCGGCACCGAGGAAGTTGGGCCCTCGCTTCCCAGAATCAGTAGCTTGACAAAATGCAGAGGAGACACCTGCTCCTTCCCGACCACCGAGCTTCTCTGACCCCAGCCCTGCTTCCCCGGAACGCGGAGGACTCTGGGGGGCCGGCCACGCAGCCCTACGGACAGGCAGGAGTGAGATCTGGATCCAGCGACCCCCGAGGACAGATGGCACCCGAAGGCCCTGGCGGAACGAGTGGATGGTTTACAGCCCTGCACTGAGGCCGAGCAGTGCTGTCCACAGAGAGAGGCTCTGCCGGGGACAGAGCAGGAGAAAAGGCAAACACTGGGGCTCCGGCCCCACCCCCTGAGAGACATTCAAGGGCAGGAGGAGCGACATCTCGCCAGTGGCTGGAGGAGTGGGCGGGGCTGCGGCCTCACATCTTGCAGGTCAGAGTGAGACCTGGGTTCCCAGGGCTCCAGCGAATTCTCCCCAGGCCCCATCTCTGGGTTCAGGCAACATGGACTTGGGAGAGAGGGAAGGAGCCACCAGAACCTCTCTCTCTCTCTCTTTCTCCCTCCCTCCTTCCTTCTCTCCCTCCCTCCCTGTGAAAAGAGTGGTAAGCTGGGCTCAAATTGCAGATTTAGAGGGGTCCCTTCACCTGGGTCTTCAGGACCCAAGGAGGTGGCAGAACCTGGGCTAGGAGGCGCGTCAAGGTGACTTTGGGAGTGACGGCTGTTCTAGGTGTTCACAGAACTCGGCTCCTGTAACGACAGGACAATGGTGTCTCATCCCAGATGTGCCAGCTCAGACGGAGCTCCGCGCACGCTCCACCCCCCACAGACCATCGGAGAGGGTGGAGCCAGGTTAGCTGGGACCTCTCCACCCTCCAGGCCCCCAGCTGATGTGCTGCTCCAGGCCGGCTTCATCAGCCTCCATCCTCTCCTTCATTTTATCCTTCAGAGAAACAGTGGAGAGAAGCATCCAGCCCAATGAGAAGCCAGGGGTTGGAGAAGGTGCTACATCCCTCCTCTCATCGATTTCCAAAGTGTGGGGAGGGCACCCAAGAGCCAAGCGGTGCCCCCCCACCCGCCTCACTAGCCTGCACCCCACCTGACACACAGCACTGGGGGAACCCGGCTCCCGCAGGAGGAAGCTCTCCATCTGCCCTGACACACCTCCCACCCCAACTTCCAGTCCCCATGATTGGCACCTCCTCCCGCTCCCTCCCACCCAATGGCTGTGAAGACAGGACCGACTACACGTGTGTTTCCCATTCGATTTAATTTAATGGACGCGCAGTTTCATTTGTCAGTTGTGCATTGGCCGTCTCCCTCAATGGCAGGACGTGAGTGGCCACCTGGCTCAACTCGAGGGGACTTCCCCTCCCCCGCCTCATTGGGGTGGAGCAAAAGGATGGTCGCTTTCCTGAGGTCTCCCTAAAATGAATGTATTTCTCCCCCAAAAGAGCTGATATTTAATGTTTTACTAGGGATTTTTGAGAAGCAAATAACCTTATTTATAATCTTGGTGATTCGATCATTTTTTTACTCCCTTTTGATGCCACAGGTAAAGTCTAGCTTTTTTGGCAATGTGCAGTGGGATAAAATACATTTCCTTCCCTGGTTCGTTTATCTTGTTAACACATTAAACACACAAACTCACACGCATGCACACACGCGCACACACCCACTTTCCACTTTGGACAGGCACCCAGCCCAGCGCAGGCACACCGCACACACGTGCCCACACACCCTCCTCCCAGCCCCTCCACCTGCCTCATGTTATGCAACCTCCTTCTGATGTATCCACCAAACCAGTACTGAATGTGGCTGAGAAGTTTCCAGTAAATCTTATTACCTACCGGGTTCTGCTGCGTGTCCTCTCTTTCTGTGGTCAGTGGGACTGGACCAGAGCGAAGGGGAGGCCTCGGCACACCCTTGGTTGAACTGACTGCCTCCGTGGAAGGTGACAGGCAGAGGGCTCCTGGTGACCTCGGTCTCCCTCCTGGGGAGGGGACAGCCAAGTGCCCACACCCACGTGTCCAGGACAAAGAGATGAGGGCGAGCAGACAGGAAGCTCTGCATGGCGCTCTCCTGGCAGCTTCCCCACAGAGGGCAGAGCTGGGCCGTCTCTTCCACCAAACTCCACCCCCTTCAAAAGGCCTTTGCTTCTCCCACCTCCATCCTGGGCCCGGAGGGTTCTCGTCATTGAAGCTGGTGCCACCACGGCCTCCCCAGCCCTCACATGCCCACCCTTGCCCGATCCCAGAGAAGTCTTGACTGCCACATTCATCTTTATATTGATTGATTGATTGATTTCAGAGAGGAAGGCAGAGGAAGAGAGAGAGAGAAACATCAATGATGAGAATCATTGATTGACTGCCTCCTGCACGCCCCACACTGGGGATCAAGCCTGCAACCCGGGCATGTGCCCTAACCGGGAATGGAACTGTGACCTCCTGGTTCATAGGTTGATGCTCAAACACTGAGCCACACCGGCCAGGCTTGACTGCCACATTCAATCCCAAATCTGTGTCCACTGGGGAGCCTGCCCTTGAACCCCCCCAGGGTTCAGCTCTATACTCCCTGGAGCAAGAAGAAATTTAGGGGCAGCTTATCTCTCATCTCACAAGTGAGAGGCAGGCTTTCTGTGACCTTCAGCCTAGAGGTGTCCTTGTCGGGCACCATTGCCGAGAAGTCTGGGGCATCGGTTTAGAAGCAGGAGGAGGAGTTCCTTGTTCATTTCTTTCCCCAAAGGCTGCACAGTGTGCCTGATCCGTGAGCATCCTAGAGCCAGGCCGGAGATGGCGATGGGACTGCTTACAGGGCAAAACGGCCTCCAGCAGCTCTGGTGGCGGTTCCGGGGTCCCTGCTCTCACTGCGCCCAGCCCCACCCCACCACCACCCAGCACAGCTGGAGAGCCCTGCCAACAGCAGAGACCTGCCGCCAGCCGGTGCAGGAAGTCTCAGGAGCTTAACAGAGATGATACCTTAGAACCTCACTTCCCAGAGCCAGGAAGATGGCAACTTTCAAAGATGTGTTTTCCAGAGAACACACTGCTCAAAGACAAGCTACCAACAAAAATTCCTTGGCCAAATTAGACTAGGATGAAGTGACACTATATTTTGCTAGCGGAGTTTCAAAAGGCACATTACTATAGTAAAGGCTCTGAAAAGTCCTGCAGGAAAGAAACCTGTTTAACCTGTTTCCCAAATTTATATGCCCGTTTTCCCAAGTAATAGCTATTCAGTGATCCGAGTGCTCCATCAAACACACTGTAGGGGACACTATTCTAAGAAAGTACAGCGCGGCCTGCCCCAGCCTCCCATCCTTCCGAAGACTGTCTCCCGAATCCCGCTGCCCGCTGACAAAGGAGCTCCCTCAGTCATTCCAGATGTGGGTGGTGATGTTTGGAGGAAGCAGCAACCTCTCTGTGTGACCTTCAGCCTAGACGTGTCCTTGGCTGAAGGTCAGGCTCTGCGTGACCCAAACCCCATCCAACCCAAGATGTGCCACGATCCTTGTGGAAGCAAGAGGGATGGGACCATGTGCATGGGGAGAAGTGGGAGGGAGATTTCCTTATCTCCCCCCGCCCCCCATAGAGCTCTGACATCAGGGCCCTGGGAACTCTTCAGACTAATTTCCGGCCCGACACCCATCCCAGACCTTTCCAGTTTGGAGGTTCCCACTCCAGGGAGTTGATGGCCAGAGCTATGCTTCCTTGACCAAGGGACCCCTCTACTGCCTTGGATATGGCAGGATGAGGGTCACGACACTGTCACCTGGCAGCCTGCTTGGACCCATTCATTCGACCTGCATTCACTGAGCACTGACTCTGTCCCGGGCAGTTGCAGATACCAAGGGTACAGCTGTGACCAGCAAGGACAAGGCTCTTTCTTGCCTTGAGGGACTTTACATTCAAGTAGACAGTGTGCTCAGAGGTCCCCGTCATGGTGACAATATGACCTGATTCTGGAAGTGGCCTCGAACTTTATTATCTATCCTGAGTTGCAAAGCAAGAGGCTCTCAGGTCAAATGTGGAGTTCGGGTCAAAGTCCGCTCGCCGGCGCGTTGTGTTTGGACTATACATTGGTTTTTCGTTTTTTGTGCCAACATTTAAAAGTTTAAAAATCGCACATAAAAATGCAGACTCCTGGTCTCCCTGGAGACATCAGGCCATGAAGCAGCTCGGGACCTACCGTCCCACACGGACGCAGTTGGGTGTGTTCGGATCACTGCTGCCCCTTACAACGTGGTCTCGGGTACCGTGATAGTGGCCCTGAGTGGTCTCAACACTGAGCCTGCGGGTCAGCCGCCACTGATGATCAGCTGTCCCTAAGTGCTTGGCTCATTGGTTGGTTATGCTTCTCTCCTCTCCCTTTGTGTGTGTGTGTGTGTGTTTCTCTCCAATGTTAGAGTGGTTGTTTTTAATAAGGGAAATATTTATGTCTGCTCATTGCTCCATCAAGAGTAAGAAAACAACCCAGCTGGTGTGGCTCAGTGGTTGAGCATCGACCTATGAAGCAGGAGGTCACGGTTCGATTCTGGTCAAGAGCACATGCCTGGGTTTCAGGCTCAATCCCCAGTAGGGAGCCTGCAGGAGGCAGCCAATCAATGATTCTTTCTCATCATTGATATTTCTCTCTCTCTCTCTCTCTCTCTCTCTCTCTCTCCCCCTCTCCCTTCATCTCTGAAATCAATAAAGTATATTTTTTTTAAAGAGTAAAACAAATAGTGCAGGAGGGCTCTGCCTTGGGAAAAAAATGGAGATGACGTATTTGTTTGTGGAAGTGAAGGCACTCCTACCATCAGATGTGAAGTCTACCTGTGTCTTCCATTCAGACATCTTCACGCCTATGCTACCTGCCTACCTGCCCTCTGGGCATCCTGAGCCTGGGGCCTAAAGCAACCAGGGATGCTTGTTGTACATGCAGATTAGGCCCCACAACCGTCTTTTCCCGGGTTTGAGGCAAGATGCCTGA